AGGTGAAGAGAGTTTAAATGATCGAAAAAATCAAAATGATATACCAGAAGGCTTAAAAACACATTATGTATATATAACAGATTTCGAGTGATTAATGCATAAGTGGAATAACCATCATGATAAAAAATACTTTTGCCGAAAATGCTTGCGATTTCCATATAGTTGATTAGATTTATTACAGAAACATATTCTTACATGTCCAGGACCAAATAAGGCTTTATAACGTTTAATTCTTCCAAAAGAAGATAAGAATTATGTAAAACCCAAGTATATCAAAAACATGTAAATAAAACCTTATTTAATAACTATAGATTTAGAAGCCAAAGAAATTGAAGCAGATGAAAAAAATAAAGAAGAAAATACTAAAAAAAAAGCAGAGCAGATAGCAGTTTCATATGGATATACTATTTATTGTTCAGATAAAACAACACAAAAACTAGTGATTAATCGAGAATCAAAAAATATAATAAAAGACTTAATGGAAAACCTTCAAGAAGATCTAGAAGTTATTTTAGATAAGCTTCATGAAATAGCTCTATGTGAAAAAATGATACCTGAATTATAGTGAAAATATCAAACTGCAAACAAATATTGGATATGTAAAGAAAAATTACATAAAGCTAGATATAATAAAATTCGTGTATTTGATCCTGAAACCAAAAAATATTTGGGTGCTTCGCATAGAAAATATCACAGGAAAAAATTAATGATTCAAGATAAGTTAGATAATGAGCAAAAAGAAAAACATAAATCTTGTAAGGTATGTTTGTATTGCAAAATGCATTTACCAGATGAGAAAAAAAATATAATAATAGATTATAACCATATTATAGGAAAGTTTAGAGGACCAGCTCATAGTGGATGTAATTTAAAATTATGAATCGATCTAGAAACAATAAAAATCTCCGTACTAATTTGTAACGGAAGCGGTTATAATTTCCATCATCTTATACAAGAAATAGCAAAAGTAACAGAAATAGTGCCGATAGCAAATAATTCAGAACAATATATTACTTTCTCGGTTGGTCAACTTCAATTTATTGATAGTTTGAAATTT